TACTCTGTCGCCTGCTCGGTCTACAACTGGAAACAAAAGTTCTGCATAGTGCTGGACGTGTGGAAGGAGATTAAGAATCTCAAGCTAAGTATTGAAATAGCAATGATATAACTTCTATCTGTGGCAAATTTTGTCCCGAGACGGAGCCCCGAGACATGTGCGTTACGGTAACATCCATACCAGGCCTCAATTTGCCTAGTTGACAATGTTAGGGGATGGCAAATGGTAAAATCCGAGACTCGCCGAGACGCTGAGATCCTAGTTAGAAATCCGAGTCCGAGACTTTTTGGTAAAAAGTTCCGGGACTCAAAAAAAGGTAAAAACAAACCATGCAAAAACGAGACTTATCAAAAACGCTTCCGAGATTTCGAGATCCTGCCAACATTTTCCGATACCCACGTTTTTCGAGGTACCATTCACCACCCCTAATGTTGTTTCTCATAACCATAGTTAATAGATTAGAATTGCTATGAAAGGCGGAAAACATCAATGGTGCTGCACAACCATTTGTATTCTGTTCACAAATTATGACTGAATATTTTAATGCCACGTTTTTATTGGCTACTAAGATTAAATTTATAGGAATGCTATTGAACGTTGTGAACCGTCGGGCCCACAAAAGGCGTCTGACGGGCGACCTAACCATTCTACTCAGTTAACTATGTCATAACTAACCTTTCAGGTATTCATTTCAACTATGCCACCAAGTCCACGAATCAACCAACTGGGATTTAGCACATCGACAGACTTAGTTAAAGTTGTTCATCAGCCTGGCTGTTTAGATCCAAACTGCCTTCTTCCATCGTGTATAAACATCAAGATGCAAAGGAGTCATTTGCAAACGTGCAAGAAAACACCTGGGACCTGCGACGTTTGCAAACAGTTTAAAAGCAGCGCGAAAAAGGAAGTTTTGCCCTTCAGTCTTAGAGGCTCCCTATCAATGCAGCCCTCCTCCTCGAAAGATGAAGAAGATGACGAAGTCACCATAATAGAAGTGACCCCTAACATAGCTCGTGATAACCCCAAGATGAATCAGCAAATATCCACCATGAAAACTATTAACTCTGACATTGCTTACAACAACCTAAAGAATCTACAACAGGTTTCATACGATTCTGTGACACGCCTAGATAAAGCAGCCGTCAGATATGGTTTTTCCAATCAAGCACAAATGCGTCCTGGAACCTTTCAGTTTAGTAACTTTAACAGCCTCAATACAAGTAGCCAAGCCTTTCAACCTCCTTTGGAAGTGCTTTGTAATACCTTACAAGCCCTAAACACCTTTATCAGGCTGGCGAGTTCATCTCAGTTAGAGTTGCAAGTTATTCCTCTGTTGGAACAAGCCCTTGCCGATATGAAAGTAACAGCGCTGAAGCGTCTAGATCTGGAAGGAGGAATTAGTCCAATACCCGTTCCTTTGAGGAACTCTCCTGTTGTGATGGAGTACTGTGATACTGAAGCATGCATTCCAGACAACCAGTGGCTCCGAGTCCAGCCACCGCCACCACCACCGCCACCACCACCGCCACCACCAGTATCACCACCATTTCCTTCATCAACGTTGCAGTCGACGTCGACAGTGTCATCATCAGTTTCTTTGGCCACGGCATGGGAATTACCATCGTCAACAGTTGAGTCATCCACGACGCTACTTTCCCATGGTGAAGAGCCGAATTATGGAGACGCCGAAAATGACGAATCCCAGTTTGATCTGCAGGATATCATTCTGCTGGATTTCGTAGACGAGTTGCTTGGATGAGTATTGCAGTGAATGGGTGGATCTTCTTCTGCCCAATCTGCATCCAGATTCTCTGCTTACAGCGAAAAGTGTCATAACACCAATAAGTCGAGAGTCTGGATTCCATAATGGGAAACAAAAGTTTTCCATTCCAATTTTAGAATGCAATATGAAAAATTCATGTCCGGAGGCTAGGCAAGTCGTTCAAGTTGGAATCTGAATTTGGTCTAGATACCATTTGACGAAGCAGTAGATTTCGATACACCAATGCGGCGGTAGGAGACGGGCGTCTGCACGCAAGCTAAAAAAGCATGTCCCTTATATGCGCATGGCCTTTTGGTTCCTAGGCTACCCAATGAACCTGAAAGTTGGTTGCCTTAAAGGAATACCACATCAAAGCCTCACTTTCAAAATGAGGCCAAGTGCACAACCCTTCCTCTGAAAATGAGTTTTATTTGCATGAGAAAGAAAAATCATTCCCATATCAAAGGCTGAGCACTTAACCTCGTTTTGATACAGAGTCCCGGGGGAACTCGCAAATGGCTTGTTACATAAATATAATTAAATAACTATAGGATGAGGCTAACTACGGTTGTATGAACCCCGATGGATAATTATGTATTCATAGGAGGACGTTATAGGCAGAGGCAGGTAACACCTTTAGAGAACCTCAATAGTCTTCTATAATCAAACCAAGGCCGAATGCAATAATTGTTTTAAATGCAGAGATCGAGTCGTGACCTCTGCGATACCTGACCGGGTGCTGCGCTCTAACCATTAATTGAGCTAACAAGCCAACTAGGAGCTGTTCATTGAAATATATGAATTCATATATTCATCATTTCAAATATTTTTTTGCCATTCATTCAAAAATGTTTCCAAGTTTACAACGGCCTTACTTCTGCTATATCAATTATAATATTTTCCAAACAGTTCCTCAACAGCGAATATAGTTCAAACGAGTTGACATTATTTTCAGTGTCTTTTTTTTGTGTGTATTATTTGCTTTGTTTTTCCCATTCAAAATTCTGTTGTTTTAGTCTTCGCTAAGTAATTGACTTCTTCCAAACAGTTTCGCGCTCTCTAGCTCTACAAAGCCAAAGCAGTTTACAATTGTTGCATGACGTAATTCGTCCAATAATTTGTGTCCTATTGGAAGTTACTTCCGCCTCCAATATTAAAAATTGTTGCAAACTGCCAAGTTTGGTCAGAGTTCGCTTGTTATGAAAAAATGAAATAAACCAGCGGCAGGCCAATCAGAGACAGAAATATTTTGAATGAATAACAAGTAAGAGGTGTCTAAGACTAGGATGGCTTATAAATCTGATAGCAGTCAGTGAAGCTACAGGAACGTGTTGTAACCTAATGTCTCGAAGGAACAAACTAGTTAAGTTTTCGAACAAAGCTACTGTATATGCGCCATTACATTTTGAACATGCATTATCCGTGATTGTCAGAAACGCACCTTGACAATCTGGAAGTGGTAAAAAACGGGTCAAAATCAACCTTCGAAAAATGCAGTCATTTTCTTAAAAATGACTATGGTACTCGGCGGGAGTAAATCATAAATATTCGAGAAGCTTTGTTATCATTAATTACTATGTATTTGATTATTTTATTTTTTTCATATAGCCTCACGACGCGCAAAGCTGCTTCGGTTTTGCTTTCATGTTCGTTTGTTGTAAAAGGAAAAAATCATGTAGTTATTGTCTATGTTATATGTTATGCTACGCGTATGTTAGCTGCTGATTATTAGTACTGAAGGAGTGCAGTTTTCAAAGACCTTGCATGGGTAGAGAACATGCATGAATATGGTATGATTGGTGTGTAATTTGCATACATTAGATAAATTTAGTGGTAAGAGTCTGGATAGAATGATATGTAATGCTTAAAAAATGATGTTTTGTGGAACAAAATAAGGTGATTTCTTTCAGTTAAAATCCATGTCTACAGTAGTCTTGTGACGTAACACATGCAGGACTTGGTATGTGGCGCACTATGGGTCTCAACTGTATAAACCAACATATAAGTTCAGGCGTCAAAATACAGCGTTGACTGAGCTCAAAGGTCAGAACATGTCTACAGTAGTCTTGTGACGTAACACATGCAGGACTTGGTATGTGGCGCACTATGGGTCTCAACTGTATAAACCAACATATAAGTTCAGGCGTCAAAATACAGCGTTGACTGAGCTCAAAGGTCAGACAACCTGTTACGTCTTATGCTACGATTTATGAAATTGTTCTCTTATCAGTTGATCCGTCTGTACACTGATATCCCTGTGCGCATCCTTTGACATATATATCTTTCAAAGCAGGGGGGGTTGGTAGCCTTTTGCCAGGCTCTCGGATAAAAGGGAAGTCGCGTAAACCAGCCAATCGAAAATAAGACGAGCATGGTGTGGGGAAGGGGGCGGTGATCTTCTCTCTCCCCAACCCCCTCTCGTTTTCCGCATCAGTTTTGACGATTCCTTCAAGTCTTAGAGTCTGGAACGGGCCAGGAAGATGGTTCAACAAACAGTGAAGCAAAGAATCTTAACTGGCCTGCGTAAAAAGTTTGTTTTATTATACTAAGCTGATCTTGAATACATTGTATTAAGTGTATAGTTTACATACTTGTTAATGCTTCCTTATTGATGTCTTGTAGTAAGAGAGCCTTTTAATGCGATCTTAATAAAATATTTATTTTTATTCTAAACGTGTGTACAGTACAAGTGTGTATTACTTTAAACAGTTTTACAAGTTTACCCTTTTTCTTATTTCCGTTTATGTTTGATCCGATTTTGATTGGAGAATCCCAACGCAATTTTTATCGTTAACATTTCTCTTTAGAAATTGAGCCAGATACTTAGTTTTTCCTTCAGTTTGATTTCATTTTCTGCCGGGTCCCTACGGATAGACGTATTACCCTACACCCTGGAACTAGCCGCACCTCTGGCGCAACGGCCTTTTGGTCATGAATGTCCGACCGTATACTACGTTATCCTTGGCCTGAAGAGTGCATGGTCACGCCATACGTTTTCAAATAATGATAATAATAACAATAATATTAATAATAATAACTTCATGAGCGTTCAAAAATCGTTTGAAGCTACGAATTATTGATCGCATCTAAATAAACCATTCGATTTCACAAACGCGCGTCCGAGTACAAAAGTACATGAATAGAGACGCGTGACACGTGCCTACCACGAAGCTAACAAACATGCATGGCATGTATGACCATTAAGAATGGAAATGACTCTGACGAGATTAGACGGATACTAATGAAAAAAACCACCCATGAAATCAGACACAGTGTCCTCTAGAGCAATTAAAGGCCCATCTTGTGATGGTCGGCAATTTCCCTTGGCATTGTCTTCTTCACTCGTCAAGTCCACAGTCTCTATGGGATTACCCTGAGCATTGGAAACGGCAGGCAAATAAGAGTGGCACCTCAAAGGAAGAAAATAAGAATTTCTTGGAACAATATGAGATGGCTCTAAACGGGATTGGTTATCAATTGGATAAACTCTGGGATTCTTCTTTTGTCTTTTGAAAACACATTGTCTCTCAGTGACTTTCTTTCTTGATCGTTTGGGTTGAGGTTTAGAGGCATCTTCCATTTCTTTTACGGTGTTGTTTAGAAGACGTACAAAGACAGAATCCAAGTGGTCTGATCTCGGTTTTGCTAGCAAATCGCAAAGCTTTCTCATTACTGTGATCAACCCCCTTGAGGGATTCTGTAAACCTGCAACTAGTCCAAAGTTAAAACCCTCAAATGAATTGCCGACTGAATGGCACGAAGGCTTGGGAAGCTGATACCAGTTGTCGTTTCTGTATAGAGGGTTTTTGTCCACCGAGGTGATAGTTTGGGCATTAAAAGACCCACTTATTGGCACTGGTATTCCAGGGCGAGCACTGAATGGCGAGCTAGTGGTGGCTGATGACGATGTGATTCCTTCAATGACAGGGCCAAAATCACCCATTTCATCAAGGACACTTTCAACGAGATCATCAAACACATCCTCAAGGCTTGTTACAGCATCCAGGCAAGTGGATGAGATCTCGGAGTCAATACTTTCTGCGGAAGACACTTTCCTCTCTAGGTCGTCTGACCCAATTGGGTTTACCGAACGCCAGGTCCCCTCAAACAATGCATTCACAAAGTTTTTCTCTGAGTCTTCCAATAACTGCCCAAAGGAAGGCACACTCGCACAATGCGTAGATGGCATCAAAAGGACATCCGTGTTGACGTTCTCGAGAATATTCTCTGCTCCAGAAGCTGAAAACCTTTCTGCCTCTTGCTGAAGCTCAGCGGACGGATTGCCACCGGAAAGGGTATTCTGGCTCTGGTCACATTCAAAACTGGTCAGCGTCGGTGTGGTCTGCGGTTGCTGCTGTGGCTCTTTTGATTTCATTGTAATTTCTTGTACCTGAAAGATGTGGCAATAAACGTTTATCGTTTCCATCCTGTACTAACCTCAAGTATATATGACATTTCAATCAAGTATGTTTATTATTGCTAGGTAGACCCCTATTACAACCAGTTTCGGCAGGATCACATTCCGAATGACTCGAGGGGCAAGCGAATGACGTCCAACGTAAAATACTGCTCACCATGGTCCAGAGTTGAAACAATATGCGATTTGCGACAAATAAACAGTGCATGGAAAATTGAAGTTTAAAGGAGACTGAATTAAGCTAGAGCAGAAATGGGTAACCATACAAGGCCGAATTCCGAAAACTAGAAACAGGAGAGATGGAAAAAGTGGCACCACAGAATCTATGTATAAGTTCATTATTTCGTTCTTTTCCATCTCGTTTAGTTTAGCAACAAGAGATCAGATTGATTTGGTAAATTTTGTTTGCCCACTGTCACTAAATATATGAGCATTAAGAAAGTAGCGAATGAGGCGACAGGTACATGGTTGGGAAAAACCACTATTGTCCGGAATTTTTAAAAGATTTGGATCTAAAATGGTTGTCGGTTGATCTTCAATTCGCACCATATATATATGATTTTTGTTTTTCTTATATTATACACACTGATTTCATTTATAATTCTCAAGAAGACCAGTGTTTTGATCAGTATCATACACATGCGTAACAACTTGCAGTAACTTCCTTCCTTCCTTCGGTAGTACGCAATTCAGCTGTCTGCATGGAAGTAATTAGCTCAAGTTTGACGTCTAATAAAACTAACCTCAAGCAATTTCCGTTTGCTAATTTAGTTTATGAGGTTTGTTCACAAAAATGAGACTCCAATCACATCATTGTTGCCCGGTTTTGTACCGCTACGAGGGCTTTAATTTCACCAAAAAGGTGATACTTGTAGAGGATTCTCGGAGAAATGAAAGTTGTAAATCATTTTTAAGAAGTTATTTGAAGTTTCATGTCAGTTTTGGCATTTTCTCCTCCCTGCAGTATCATTTACTAAAGCAAAGTGCAAAGTGGAAGTAACTGTTAAAACTGAAATTGCTTGAAAACTGCTGGACAAAGACAACGTTATCGAAGAGATTGTGATATAATTTCTAAAAATTTTATGGATCACGGCCAATTTACTCTAAAATGACTCACTTTGATTGCAAGATTCGGCATGTTTTCATTTCAGTGATAATGCTTTCCGGTAAGCAGGTTAAAAATATTGTCAAAAACAAAGTTTCTCCGCATAGAAGGTACCCATGCGTGAACCTTACATCGTAGAAAGACATGCAATTATGGTGTCTAATGACTCTGTTTTATTGTTATTGACAGTCAAAACCAAAGCTGTTTTTGAAGGCTACAAAACAGGACAGTCCTTAAAGGAACTGTCTCTCGAAATTTATCGAAGTTCCAACAGAAGGAACTGCCACTAAATTGAGTGACTGACATCAAAATAACCACTCTTTGTGAGAAGAAGATATACATGACACAGCAAATACAGAAGAAAGTACCGTGATGTCGTGGACAAACCTGAAGAAGATTGACACGGATTAAAATTTTGGTTTTTGAAACTACATGTTAGCCTAACAGTTTTTTAAAGGTCATTTCTGTTGCTTGTAACAATCGATACCCCTCTTAACGGACACTGTTTATTTACGCACCGTCTATAACTGAACAGTTTACCGGTGAAAACCTAACNACAGTCAAAACCAAAGCTGTTTTTGAAGGCTACAAAACAGGACAGTCCTTAAAGGAACTGTCTCTCGAAATTTATCGAAGTTCCAACAGAAGGAACTGCCACTAAATTGAGTGACTGACATCAAAATAACCACTCTTTGTGAGAAGAAGATATACATGACACAGCAAATACAGAAGAAAGTACCGTGATGTCGTGGACAAACCTGAAGAAGATTGACACGGATTAAAATTTTGGTTTTTGAAACTACATGTTAGCCTAACAGTTTTTTAAAGGTCATTTCTGTTGCTTGTAACAATCGATACCCCTCTTAACGGACACTGTTTATTTACGCACCGTCTATAACTGAACAGTTTACCGGTGAAAACCTAACAGAAACAGCGAATGATCTTTCAAAGGTTCTCTCTAATGTTCAGTCCACCTGGCTGAGTCGCAAACTAAAAGCGACGGAGCAAAGTAAAGTCACGGATTCAAAATGTAGTTTTTCAAGACAAGAATACTTTGAAAGTTGGTTTTGGTCTGAGACTTTCAATGATAAATGATCGTGGGGTTTCTTTACGGTGAAATGGTTATGAGTTGCTGCTAAGAAATCAAACGACGTTTTCAGTCTCGTAAAAATCTCTGCTTCAGTCTGCAGATCGATAAAACATGTGCCCGTGACGTTTTTGTTTAGAGCCCGCTTGGCAAGGACACCCGAAAAATACGGACAGTATGGTATGTCCCGGGTATGTCTCCTTGGTAACTAGGTTCCACTCCACAAACTAAAGGTAACAACTGGAAAGGTTAGTAAACCATAGTCAAAATATGTTGTATTAAATGAGATTTAGATGACTATTTAAAGAAAAGATTTGTTTAGGGGGCTTCTAAAATACGGTGAAATTGCGTGGTATTTAATTGCTTTCACATCTAAGAACGACAGAGGCCGAAAATCAACATAAATAGCCTTGGCCCTGGTATTTGTTGTTGCCAAACTCGTTATCATCGAAAGCGTCAAGAACGAAACAGCTGTTGAGTCGATCCGGCCGACAAGATATGTCGCCATTGTTTTCATCGTAGTCGTTTGGACAACCTACAAAGTTTGGCGGAGAAAACTATAATTTTCAGTGCCGGCTGCTCAGGGAAACTTCAGATTTGCACCCTCGCATATCATGATCTTGAGATCGATGGATTCACACCGGTGCTAGCTCAGTTTTTGGCGAACCATATAATAGTCAACACCAGTCAGGTAAAAAAAAATTCATTTGGGGTCCAGTTAAAATTTTTTGGCGCAATTTTATTCGAAAAAGGACGTCAAAGGAGGAAAGGCGTTTCGGTTCAAGATTACAGAAACGAACTCCAAGTTAATCCAAGACTCCAGTCAACGGACAAATGATCTCTCCATCAAGAAACTCAGTTATAAAGTCCCACGATACTTGTGAAAATGATGGAGCAATTTTTCCGTCACTGCCAAACGCTGCGGGCAAATCAATCACCTCTAAGTTTGTTGATATCGCTAGGTCCTCTCGAAGTTGGTAGTTCTTTGCCTATTTCAATCATTCAAGGCAGATTGCAATACGATACGTTGAGCATCTTACAATTCGTTTAATCCCGGTCATCTTTCTTTTCGAAGCTTTCGTTTTGACTGGTTCACAAAATCACCCAAATCAAAGACTAATTCGTATACCGGGGGAAACAGGGTTAAATATATANCGAAAAAGGACGTCAAAGGAGGAAAGGCGTTTCGGTTCAAGATTACAGAAACGAACTCCAAGTTAATCCAAGACTCCAGTCAACGGACAAATGATCTCTCCATCAAGAAACTCAGTTATAAAGTCCCACGATACTTGTGAAAATGATGGAGCAATTTTTCCGTCACTGCCAAACGCTGCGGGCAAATCAATCACCTCTAAGTTTGTTGATATCGCTAGGTCCTCTCGAAGTTGGTAGTTCTTTGCCTATTTCAATCATTCAAGGCAGATTGCAATACGATACGTTGAGCATCTTACAATTCGTTTAATCCCGGTCATCTTTCTTTTCGAAGCTTTCGTTTTGACTGGTTCACAAAATCACCCAAATCAAAGACTAATTCGTATACCGGGGGAAACAGGGTTAAATATATACAAACTACGAACCTAGATCGAAAGGAACTCTTGAGAAGCATGCACTCCCAGACAAAATGACATGTTGCCTGTTACCTATGACTGATTTTTTGCACTGATAGCTTTTAAAAAATAATCAGAAACTGAATAAAGACAACTGATAACTATGGTAGAAGAGGATAAAAGTATCTTACTGAAGTGCATTGGATTTTTCTGTAGATTGAAGTGAAATCATTTGCTTTTCACCGATTCTCCATGCGTGACAGGTGTAAGGCGGCCATTGATTAATAAGCACTCCTTTCTAAAGTACAGTTAGTCAATAGTACACAAAACTCGTCGATGTTTGCAAATAAAGATAAAAACTGATATTCAAGCAGCGTAGCTCTGCCGAGGCCTGCAGCTCTAAAAATGCATTCAACCCAATTTAAGTTAAAGATCAAAGTTTTTTTTAAAATTTTGCTTGACCAATCAACCTTCATTTACATTTACTTTTATATAGTGAAGAAGGTCTGGTTGCCCTTTCCGATAGGTCTTGTTTGTGTTTAGGTCTTTATTCTACATTAACTTGATCTGCAAAACGTTTACAAAAGAACACAAACAAAGAAATCCTTATCACAGTCATTTCTAACCAATTTTGTCAAAAACTCGCAATTACATTGTCAGGTTTTCAACAACCCTGCCGATGCTTTTAAAATACATTTCCTTACCAAACACGTTTAAGTCAAACATGACTAAAGCGAAGATCATGGAAAAGAGTGGTGCCAAAAAGAAGTAGAAAAGTGAACTTACATGTAGTGTTAGTTATTGTCGTCATAATAAAAATAGCCAACAAAAGAAAGCTATCTGGTTTTAGTAAACTTGTTAGTGCTGTCTGGAGCAATATTATTTGACCAACCTTAGTTCACGTGATCAAGCCAGTAACGGTGAAAGAGAACGATCCTCCGGTTTTGGTGAATTAACAGCTTCAACTTAACTGGGCTTATAACCACGCGACTGAAACACAATCTTATATAAAGAGTCAACTTGTGTCGCGGATCACTAGCGAAGATCTTGGAACATTCGAGTTAATGATATGACTATGTTAAGTATGTACTTATTGTGAAGCTCTTAGCCTCACCCCCAAACCCCGAGAAAGTCTGTTTGTATCCATTTGCAATTTGAATAATTTGTTTCAATATTAAGGCTCTACCATAATTTCCAAGTTCCTTTCTCGAGTAATTACTTCCGGAAAGAAGTTGTTGCCTAGACAGAGTCGGTGGAGTATGAGTGACGC